GCTCCTTGGGGCAGGTTACTTCGGCCTTGCGCGTGTAAGCTGTTTAAATGGCGTCATCGGTAACCCGAACGCACTCGTGGAGGCTCGAGTAAGCGCGACGCCAGTAATCGAACGCAAACAAGAATGACCACCCCCAATTATATTCAGTGATTGAGTACCACCGCCCCCTTGAGTGCCTCGGGCCCCCAATATCCCTTACTGCCCAGGGCCCCAATCCTCGCCCCCTCAGCCCAGGTACCGGTTGGCTCCGTCCGGGATAAAATATTAGTATGAACCAGAATCGAGGGGGCCCCTAAATGTGGGGAGCCCGGGACATTTGTCCCACTTTGCCCCCCATCTCTTTATCTTATCTCCCATAATGTATCTTTAATATTCAAGACGTGTGGTACATATTAATGTTGATGTAATCGTCAATATTTAATGTTACATATCACTTAACAAAGCTATATTTATATTCCCCTTTTCTTCAAGGCATTCAATACAAAAACATCCATTATTCATTAGTATATTACGCTGAATTAAATCAGTTATATGAGGTTTGATAAATGGTGAGAGATATTGTTGTCTCAAATTACCGTAAAATGGACAATACAATAAGAAATGTTTTTCATCTTCTACTAATTGAAGGTTGCAGTTTTTACATAATCTCTCATTACGAGTTATGAAGGGTTCCCTTAGCAAAAAGTCCTACAGAATACCAGTGTAGTATCGTATATAATTCTATAGAAAAACTATAGAGTTTTTTTGTTTTTTTTTTGGGGGGGGGGGGGGGTCCCATTTTCTATAGGATAAAATTCTATAGTATTCTACAGAATTTTGGGGGCCTGTAGGAAATAACGGCCCCAAATATTCTATAATTTCTGTAGCGCACATCCTATAGTTCCCTACAGATTTATGGCAAAATTTCTATAGGAAAATATTATAGTATTCTATAGGTTTTTTTTTATTGAACTTTCTGTAGGAAATTCTACAGTTATGTATAGAAATGAATACTGTAGTAATCTGTAGTTTGAAAATTGGGCCACTATAGTTTTCTGTAGGAATGGGTACTATAGAATTTTATAGACTTTTTTTTATTAAATCTTATTTTGGGAATAAAACTATAGTTGGCCCATGATTTCTTCTAAATTGATAAGCTTATTTTTCTCTCATGGATTCTTCTAAATTGATAAGCTTATTTTTTCTCTCATGGATAAATCTGAATTCTGTTGATGATTCACCAGCCAGAACCATGAAAAGTTTTTTTTCTTGGTATAACTGAAATATAAGGAAAAGAATATAAAGTTAAATAAATAACAAAATCACATAAATCTTATCTAATTAAAGTAATTTAATATTAATGTTAAGAAAGTAATAAAGTATACTTATCTTTCTATCTTTAATCGAATCTGTGAAAAAAATAGCACCATTCTCAGTTTCTTGTTAATACTAACATATTAAGTTGTTATACACTGAATTTTTGAATTTAAAATTCAGCCAATGGCCAAACAGATTTCAAGAGAGTACATTGGCTGTTAATTATAATTTGTTGACAGGTATAAACGGCTGACCTGGTGACTAACAAATTATATAATTTGAGTACAGAATCTGCTATAGTCATTAAGATCTAACTAGCAGGATCAAATAACAGTCAGACTGCTGTGTTCTAAATAAACTTTGTCTTTATTTCATTGACTTATCTGAAGAATAATTTATTGTCTGATATTTTTGTTGTGAAGATCTACATTTACTGACATTTTTTGGAGGGTGGGTGGGGAATTCCTTTGAGTGTCAACATGTATCACTATTTCATTCATATTATATACACTATTTTATACTTAATATTTTATTTTTCGTGGTAAGCTTATTTTAGTTTGTCATTTGGTAGCACAATAAATTAAGGAAAACCGTATCCAGGAAAATTATGTTGGAAAAGTTTATATCATTCACACAAGTGCCTCACTAAATTCTGTTGTAAACTATAGTATGAATAAAAGGCATCACCAATTTATGAAATCTGTAGTATAGAACATTGTTTCTACATTATTATGTAGGAAACTATAGTAGGCTATTTGTTAAAACTATAGGATCACACAACTGACTTGAGACAATAAGTTAGTTCTATTGAAAACTATAGTTTTTACCACCAAATCTATAAGAACGCCAGTTGACATGAGAATACAAGTTAGTTTTATAGCAAACTATAGTTTTTACCACAAACGCTGTAGAAAACTGAAGGATTACTCAAATGACTCGAGGATACAGGTTAGTTCTATAGAAAACTATAGCAGCACCAATGAATCTGTAGGTTTATTCCGTCTTCATTAGCCCAGGTTAGGAGCAGAAAAGTAGGACGTTAAACTCCATTTCATTTCATTTCATGTAGGTTTATTTTTTTTCCAATAGTTTCTTAAAGTATTCTATAGAATTCTGTAGAAAATTACACTTGGAAAATATTCATCTATCAATCCTACACGTACAAAACTATAGTACATGTTTTTGAATCTATAGTCATGTGAAAAAAACTAAAGAATGAATTTGTTTTCCTGCAGCATTCTATAGAATCCCTGTACTTTTTCTATAGGATTTTTTCATAAGGGTTTACTGTATCTTCCCTTTTCAACTTACAGTGTATCTAAATCTAAATTTACTGAGTGTACCCCTTTCATCGTTTTTCAGTGCACATAAATATTTTTCCATGTTATATGAATTCTTAATATCATAATAAAAAATCATGTTTTGAATTTGATTACATAATATGACCATTTAGATGCTGGGTAGTCTTACTCTGGTCAGTGTGCTTCCAGGACTTAACTTATATATATCATGTAATCAGGTTTCAAATAAGTGTAAAAAGAATTCTGTATTAAAATTTTCATTTTTGTGGCGGTAAATATTTCACCCATTCCGGGTTCCACTAGTATAATCTGGATTTGACTAAGCCATTTACTATTATAAGTCTTGATCTCTGTGACAGCTAGTGACATTAATGAATATCTGCCTATTTCAGGTCTTTCTTTAGGCCTGAAATGTTATCTAAATTATTAATTAGACATTAATTAAATCGATAATTTCATATTTTTAAGTTATATTTTTAAAATGTATTAAAATAAAGCCTTAAAATAGATGATATCTATAAACAGTCCTACCTTGTTAAAGAATAATCCTATTAATCCTATAATTCACTATTGCCAGTTGAGAAATTGGCAAAAATATCATTTTCAACTTCAAATTCAAACGTTTGAAGATAGCTATTCCATGGGGGGGGGGGGGGGATAGAAAAACAAGGGAGGTAATTGTGTTATTATTTCCGGGTGAATGGTTTTTAAGTGGGAGAATGATACCTATGAACGTATAATAGTGAGTTGTCAACCCATTGAGCAAAAGATATAGAAAAAATTATGTTTTGACTTTCTTAGAAAATATGAAATTCTCGCTTTAACTTCTCCAGACAATCAACTCCCGATGTCATCGCTAGCTTGCGATGTTTATTGAGGTTCCTATTCCCTGTTCGACTTCCATTCATAATTTAATCATTAAATGGATAACCGAGACTATGTTTTTATCGTACCGACTTCAGTAAATGATGATCGAGACTATGCCGAAAATTCAATCGCTAAAATCTCGGTTCAGAGTGGATCAATTTGACTGAAATTTTCAGCAAATTCCCTTTACATTATCTAGTTTTTAACTATTATAATGAGAACTGCCAACTCTTTATCTAATCTCCTATAATGTATCTTTAACTTCAGATTCTATCCAGGTCTTAACCATTCGATATTTCACATCTAGAAAGAGAGGAAATATGTCTAGTTCAGCAAGAACAACTGAGTTAGTAGCCTTTTGGTGAATTTTCATAATACTCTTACATAAATTTAAATGTAGCTTTTCAATTTTTAAGGTGTTTGTGGTAATAAAATCACCCATGCATCACATGCATACAAGGTAATAGGTTTAGCTAATGAGAAAAGGCTTTTATAATCCTAAAGTATGCCTTCAATAACTTATCAATTAAATACTCAACGCCTTCACTGAGAGAACTAGATGACTGAACTGGCAAATGAAGTGAGCGCTTTGGCAGTCAATTGATTTCGTTAAATGGAGTTGTCTCCCTATATACCAAAATGGTATTTGGTATATTTGGTGTTATTGTTTTCTACAAAAAAAATGTGCTTTTAGATAATTATATTTAAGTAAAATACATTCATGCCATAAAACAAACAATAGGTCTATATTAGCTTGTTCTAGTATGATAATCTTCACGTTTAGTCAACAATAATTTCGAAACTTAAGGTATAAATCAACAATAGGCCAACACTACAAAATTCTCCAAATAAAAGTGTCCCTAATTTTTGTTCTCGATTGTTTGGACCCCCCCCCCCCTCCCCAAAAAAAAATAAAAATAAAAAAAAATTAATTACTCGTAATTCTATAAGAAGTCAAATTTCAATATATTTTTTTTTTTTTACAAAAAAGACTATTTCTATAATTATCTAGTTTATTTACTCTTTAATTCGTTTCAAATTTGATATCCTTTCAATTTCATTGAGAAAAGCCTGTGGCCTTTTTATTATGTTAACGTAAATTATAAACATAGCATATTGACTTGCCTTATAATTATGACACGTAAAGAAAACAATTTTTACCTAGTCTTCATCCCACCCACACCTATTTCTTTTCTTTTTCTTTAAAGAAAAACTACAGAAAAAGATTATGTAGACAAAAATAATCCATTAGAATTAATCGATTAGATAACACGGTGAACAATATCAAACAGTAATATTTTTTCTTTTAATTATTTAGTTTTGGATATTACAACTTCTTCGAAATTAAATAAATTATCTTTTTATATGTCTTTAATACGGAGTGTGAAACAATATAGAAATTTGCTACATAATTGATGATATAGATTTTTCTGGCACTGAAATATTAAAAATAGGTTTTACCGTCGGCTCTATGCCAAAAACACAAATCACGCGCAGCAAATGTCAAGGTCGATTTGTCTGTATTATATGTAAGGGAAATACTGTATCTATAATCATGTTTATTAGTCAATGGATTTATTAAGGGGCACTAAATATCGGCGAACAGCTAATCCCGCATACAATCCGACGTCACAGTGTAGTGTGTCGTATCGAAAATTATTTGTGAAAACTTCCCATGATGCATGTGTAACCCCACCCAGTGCTGTCAAGTGACGTGTGTGCTGGCGGTGCGAGTGTTTGTATGTCTACTAGGATAACCCTCTCCATGACGGGGCCGGCAAATTTGGCTCTATAGCCCGGCGTCCGGCTTGGAGACCCCACGGATTACCGATTGTGAATACTTGGATGTCAATGTGAAGGATATACGTGTATCAAACTGGCCAAAATAGCAGACACATTGCTCAGCAGTATGGGGTGCTTTCGGCGGAAAGAAGACGAAGATGATAAGATGCGAAAAGAAGCGAATAAACGGATAGAAAGACAGTTACAGAAAGATAAACAGTTATATAGGGCCACACACCGGCTCTTATTATTAGGTGTGTATACAAGCATTATTTAATCAGTGCCTATGTGGTTACAATAGCGGTATATTTGGACTGAACATGCTCGCCATTGCCAAGATTTATTCTAATAACCAATATAATGAGATGGTATTCGTTGTTTTTTTTTCTAGGTGCCGGGGAATCTGGAAAATCTACAATTGTAAAACAAATGAGGATTTTACATGTAAATGGATTCGGACCAGAGTGAGTGATAGTTCTTCTTTTTATCTTAAAAAATATTCGTTTATTTCTGTCGCTATGACCAACGACGGGTAATAGAAGGCCGTATTATGCATGCATGACTGTATCCAATATCGGTAGATAGGGGGAATAGCATTGTCTATTACCGATACATCGAAAGTATGCCTTACATTGTTTTGCTTTTGAACCCCATAATCATTTTAAATGACTGTCATATCTATTTTAGTGAAAGAAAACAGAAAATAGAAGACATAAAACGGAATATAAAAGATGCAATTTTGGTGAGTACGAGCCGTGAGATATACCTGTTACCCCTAAACATGGACTTGCCGTCTAAAAATGGCGGACATCGTGTTTTAGTATCTTGATACATGACTATTATTCATGTTTTTGGCCATTATTTGATGCTATATTAGTTTAGATACACCGGTTGCTAACTTTAAGAACGTTTTTACAATACATCAATCGTAGACTAATATAAATAGACAGTGCTAGGGTTAAATTTAGTTTGACACTCCGTAAACACAAGAAAACATGTTCAATTTTCAAATCGATGTCGCAAATTTGACATCTCCGGCTACCGAGAGAACAGAAAAATAGATATTTTGTTTACTGAAGTAGCAACATTGTTTGTTCTTTAACGTTTGTTTGATAAGTGATAATTGTTAGCAATAGTACACAATGTATACAAGGCAAAAGAAATACGAGGCATATTATCATCACTAGGCTGATCATACTGGGCAATATAAAACACCAAATATAATATACCTGATAAAAACTTAATGTCTATAAAGCCATTTTGCCTTTAAAGGAACATACCCAGGAAAGTTTGAGAATAGACAGTCATTAGATATATAATAATTCCCATGTAGTAATGAGGTTATTGAGAAGTTAAGCATATTAATATTAATCTGCTACATATATATATATATATTGTGCTATATATAAACTAAATATGATTAGCTCCCATTATTATTATTTACAAAGACATGAAATAATAAAGGAAATACACAAGATTAAACAACTGAAGATATTACATGCATTTATATATTTGACAAGTAAAAATGGAAGGGTTTAGCTTTTATTTCCATGTGTACACTATCATAATTTTTGTAAATCCCTGCAGCTCATAAAACACCCCACCTCCCCGATATAATTTTGTACTGTACATCAAATGTTAATTTAGAATTTGTAACTAACTTCAGCTCCCATTTCAACAGTCTACAAAAATTATAATCATTTCTAATTATAGACTTGTGGTTGAATAAGGTCCTATTATGTGATGTCATGCAGGTACCTGTATGTGTAAAATTAGAAAATTATTGATCACAAAAATATTGAAAATTTGCCAATGTGAATACCTGGACATTATTTATATTCTTTTACACTTTGTGACTAAAGTTCTCTTTATGTTTGCCAAAAAAAAAAGCTGCCCAAGATCCTTTGTAAGATATAATGTCTCAAACAATGGAATATATTCATAATTGTAATTAATCATAAGACCAAACAAATCAATGTCATAACAAGAAAGGACAGAAGTAAAAAAACATTTAGTTGTCATGATGGTTTGTCAGTAATTCAAAGATCATCTGTATGTTTGTGTTTTGTTTTACAAATAATGTATTCTATTGAGAGTGATTTTGTTGAAATTCCCCAACCCCAAACAAAAACAAAAAAAGAAACATATTTTTGATTTAAAAAAAGGTTCTTGTGGATTAACTATGCTTAATTCTTTCATTACTTTGTTAAAATTGGAACCAGATCTTTTTCTGGTTATTTGTAATTAATGGTAGTTCCATTAGATTCTACAGTCACTGTCACCTGCCGTCACCCGTCCAGTTATGATTATTTCGTTAGCAACAGGCTGCACTCTTGATGTCGTAAAAAATTATTCAACTGACCACTTTAGTTATTTGAAAAAAAAATCGGATTCTCACTCCTTTGACATTTGATCTTATTTGCTAAAATTATTCCAAAAAGTGTCCTTTGTGCTACTACATCCTGCATAACAATGATTTACTTTCTCAGGATTTTTACTGCAAATCATATACAAGGTGTGATGTTACAAATCACAATTCTATTTGAGCTTTAAATCTTTACTTATCAAATACTGAATTTATAATAATTTTTCACCAGACTATCAGAGATATTAAAAGTTATTGAAAATTGTGTACTATATTCATAGAAAATGTATCCTTCTGGCCAGAATTACAGACCAGAATTTCGTTTGTATTTGAATACTGCCAACCGAACAACCATTATTTATCAGCAAATACTATATTTATACAAAAGTAAAACAAAGACTGGTTAGGTACATGTATATGAACTCCTGAAATGGGAAGTAGTATGAAGTGTTTAAGAAAAGAGTTTGGTAAGTGTACTTGTACAAGACACTGATTACTATAAAAAAATAGAAACGAAATATAGATCTGTATTTTAATCAGATTGATTCTACATGTTCTGCACATCCGGCATACTAAAATTTCTCTGAAATAAAGCACCCACGATAAAAAATACAGTACATATTTGATAAATGTTCTTAAGTTTGTGCAAATCAGGTCTGAAGTTTTAAAGTAGAAGGAGAATTGCTATTTATAATCTATGTGGTGTAGACGGTAGTATTGTAATTAACATGACTTTATGATAATATACTGGTATGAATACATACATGTAGTATTATCTCAGGTTAACACAATCATTTATGTATATGTATCTATGGTAGCACAAAATCCATGAAACAAGTAGGCCTAAGTCATACCGAACAAGCATAAGGCCTAAAATGTTTTTATACATCCAATCCCATTTGCTGTATTGCAATGTGTAATCCATGTGACAGAGACTGTAGTAGCTTAGTAAAAAAAGAATGATAATAGTATATGGTATAGGGCTACCATAATAAACTAGAACTACAGTATTGTTAAAAATTTGAACTGAAAATTAATCAAAACCAGGTGATGCACTGGCTGTTTTTTTATTATTTTTCTTGCCTTATAAATAATTGGTTTCAAACTTGTATGCCCTCACAGTCTCATGTAACAATGCCTCTTCGTTTTCAGAGGAATTATCAGTTCGCTGAAATTTGTCCATGGAGCTTGTGTTACTGCTCTCTAGCTGATTTACTTTTTTTGAATCAAATCGTGGTTAGGGATCAAGCATTGCAAAGATTTCTGTGTTAAAATTACATCAGTTTAACCATTTCAATCGCATTTAAAAATTGTGGACGGCAACATTAGTAGGATCCCCTAAAAATTGTTTTTGTAAATGATTGTTTATATGGCCTCTTTACTGTGTAATTCTATACTGCTCTAATATTAGTAAGCTATTTTTTTATTCATTATAAGCTTGCATGAAACTGAGACATACATAACTTGATGTTAAGCCATGGCTGTCCATGAGTTGGACACTGGTTCACCAACCAGGAACCCATTTTGGATCAATGGGGAGTACTTAAAGTTCCCCTGACCATTGGACATGAAAATACAGTGCTGGTGATAGGATAAAATTTCCCTCATAGCACACTGCATGGTATAGGCACACCCTTCTTCGCTGAAGAGTTTACAAATCTTAGGAATTTTAACAGTGTAATTGGAGAGGTAGTGATGTGTAATGGATTAGAAACATTATAGTACATGGACTTTGTATAGTATTATTTAAAAAGAACATGAAATACAAAATGCATCCTCTATGAGTACACAACCTATACCGTACAACATTAACTAATCCTTAACCACTGGATTATTAAAAGTTTCCATACAGTAGGAGATTTAATACAAGGGAATCTTATCCAATAATGTAGCCATGATCATTTACTTTGTACAATAGTAAGTTATGAATCCATGATTGCCAAGGGTAGGTAATTTACCAAGATAAGGCCAATATGCACAAACCACAAGATGTTATTTAGCTGATTTGAATGCATTCTACAGTTGCTAAATTTTGTCTACAGCTTAGATGCTTTGCATCTGACTTTACTACTTTTCTTGCTGTTTTTAAATGGACACAGTAAAATTTTATGCTGTACATATGTATGATTTACATTTAATCCTGTCCTGGACTAACATAATACTCGTCCCGAAGTAACCTAGTAAGTGTGGATAAGCTGTTATTAAGCCTCACCGAAAATCATTTCATTTAATCCTACATGTACTAGGATGAAATGTTAACTTATTTATAAATTATGGAGTTTCTCTCAACTCCAACCCCTCACCAAAATGGACCCCAAATTAGTCTTGAATGAATCCAGTACAATATTGTATTCTGTTTGATTTATGAGTTGAATCATGAATGTGGGTAGCCTTTTTTATTAAATCAGATTAAATCAGATTAGCTACTGTATTAAGACTGATAATCTCCTGTATATTGTTTTAACAAAACTTACACCTGTATATTACATACATTGTTTTCTACTGGCTTGATAAAGGAATTAAACATACATGTATTGGCAAGGTTTGTGGTCATGTAATAGTTCACATATAAGTCCTTTCTTAGAACTTTAGCTTCTATGAGCTATTACTTAATAATACATGTATATTGTACATTAGAAATGTTGATATTTACCACAGATTATAAGTTTCATGTTATGGCCATGTACATGTACAAGTTTAAATTCCGGTTCTGAAAGATTTTCAATCCTCAGTCCTTGTCAATGGCAAAATGGGGAATTGTCTCTCATACTCACCCACCTGATCACTTTTAGCATTTGGATTGTATATGACTGTGAAATGAAAATAACTCTGTATTAGTCTCAAATAACAAGTATTATGTGGACAAGATGTGAAGCTTTTCTTTCATCTTTTATGTTTAGTCTGTCCTAAACTGGGGCCTTAAAGTAAGCATTTAGTATTTATCCCAGATTGATTTTGGCAAAGAGTTACGGATTAAAATAAACACAACAGTTCTATGGAAAACAATTACTGTATTTTAATCAGATATATACATGTAACAGTATAAGTTATGGATTTATATGGGTGATTAAACCTGGTTGATTTGGTAAACTGCTAAAAAGTAAAAATATCCACTTTAAAATAAATCAAATCTTTTTTTTCATTTACTTAGATTGAAATACACTATCTGGAGCATATTTATATTTAATAAAATAATAATAAAAGCAGTTCTGATTACATAGATTTTATTGTTAATATTTACGAGAATTGGTCACCTTTCTCATACCTGTTATTCAAATTATTACATGGCTGGAGGCATAGTTATGAGGTGAGGCAAGAAGGAAATAAGGTCATTTGAGGGACAAATTATTTTTCTTTGGTAGTCATTTAAAAGAATA